AAAAAATTTCTTTCTATTCTATAAATCAACTACTACCAATTAAAGTCTGCTTCAAGAGCTGTGACAGTTACTGGGGATGCAAGCATGAATGTTTTACAATCTGACTGGGGAGATAAGATGTAAAAAGTAAGCCCAAAATAAACTAGAATGAGAAACAGGAGATTGTCCAAGAGTAGCACTGAAGGCTGATTATGTATTCAAAAAGTTTAAGAAAAAATCCAAGTGCAGCATTTCCCTCTCCACAGTAGTTCAGAAAAGCAGATGGGTATGTTCCCATGTATGTAGATGTACTTTGGATTCCAGGCCAGTTGCTACAGATAAGCTAAAACATTTGGCCCTGAACCTAGTCACCTCTGACCACTGAATACAGAGCTGACCAGGCAGTTCGACCATTCTGGGACAGAGCTTACCTTGAACCATTTACTTCTTCCTATTTCTTCAAGGCTGCACTTGACTGCGTTATGAATTTGTTTAGGAAGACTTCTTGCTCCCTCTAGTGGTTGTAAAGCTTTACTTTACAGATTTTTAAAAGTATGTTAACAGTTGGATTATTGACTGATACTTACAGAAAGTTTTTCCACATCTCCCTTTAAAACTCGTTCTAAGTAAAGCTGTTTAAGTTCACGTTCCAGCCGTGAAGGCAGCCCAGGATACATAGTTGATCCTCCAGAAAGCACAATATGCTTATAGAATTCAGATCTAGAAAGAGACAACATGCATTCGTTTGGGGTTTCAGATGAACAAAACAATATCTCAGGGTTATTGTTATTTACACCAGCCTTAAGGGGTTGCTGTGAGAAATAAAATTCTGTACGTAAAGCACTGGGTTCAGTGTTTGCTGTAACTGCTACTGTTAAGATAACAAACTCTTTACATATAAAATCTTTATCACAGTTTTGATGTAGCACATTACACGCCTTCTCGCGAGTATAACTGTTTTAATAATGTCCAGGGTTTACATTATAAACTTCCATTGTGTGGACTGTCTTATCAGAGAGCTTCCCCAGGGTCACTGAAGTGTGGTTGTTAACTATATTCTACTATGATCTGAGTTTTGTTTTTCAATTTTTCCATTTGCTTTTTTGGAATTTTCCTCTTTGTTCCTTTGCGTTGAGGCTCTCTGCTGTTACTTTTGGCTAAATTGATGCACGTGCTTCTTACAGCAGTCCCCTCTTTCTTCCTTAAATACCAACTCTAAAATCACTGCACGTGAAGTAAAAGTAACATAATATGAGCGAGGGTCTGTGAACTCTTCTCATAGTGAAGCTTGGTAGCTGAGTCACGTACACTTTGGCTTCAAGCTGGCTTCCAGGTTTTCACTTAACTCCATGTTCTCAGATGGGTTCTTTATAGTTGAGTCTACTGTAATTCTAGCTTCTAGAAGCGCAGTGTTTTT